CAGGGCATAGATCTCAAGTAGTCTGGGCAATGTTTCCCCAGGTGAAACACGCCTGGAAATGTTTAGGGAGTTTTGCAGACAGTTAAGCAAATAGTTCCCTTAATGGGTTTATGGTTCCATTTAACGCAGAGTGGTCTTATTAGGACTATATTATAGCTCTGATACACCTTGTGCTTCAGACACAGCCAGCACATCTCAGGCTGTGATCTCAAACATTTGAATGGCAGCTCTCTAAGAAAAAGCAAGGTATTGGCTTGACAATTTAGAAGGTGTCATAATTCTAGTTGCCCCAGTGCCCCAGTATGGTATTTGGAAGTGTATTGTGCTGCTGGAGGCTGCCCTATGGATGAGGGAGAAAACTGAGGTGCTGACCACTTGGTCCTTAAAAACACCATGTACTTTTCAGGGTGTTTACCTGGGGTCCTGCTCTAATTCTAGTTTGAGTAGTTATGTTGGGTCTCCCTAAATTCACACTAGTTTCAATCCTCAAGAGTGTTGAAAAATTAGAGAGGGCTCAGAGAAGAGCCACGAGAATGATTAAAGGATTAGAAAACCTGCCTTCCAGTGATAGACTCAAGAAGCTCAATCTACTTAGCTTCAAAAAGAAAACATTAAGGGGTGATTTGATTAGTCTGTAAGTATCTACCTGGGGAACAAATATTTAATAGTGGGCTTTTCAATCTGGCAGAGAAGGTATAACACGATACAGTGGTTGGAAGCTGAAGCTAGACAAATTCAGACTGGAAATAAAGTATACATTTTAACAGCGAGGGTAATTAATTAGCCAGTGGAACAATTTACCAAGGGTTGTGGTGCTTCTTCATCACTGGCAATTTTGAAATCAAGATTAGATGTCTTTCTAAAAGCTCTGCTCTGGAAATTATTTTGGGGAAATTCTATGGCTTGAGTTATACCGGAGGTCACAATGATCACAGTGGTCCCTTCTGGCCTTGGAATCTATGAAATGAATATAGTACTATTCTTTGCTTATCATTGTGCATTGTTGCTATGTTCCACGCCAAAGGTAGCTGCACTTCAGTGTTGGATGAAGTGATTCCTTGTGTGTCTGGACATCTACGTGCGATGTTTGTTGTGTGCTTTGGACTCTGTATAATCACTTATTGCTGGTTGTTTGCTAATTGAGTTATTGCTGAACATACCCCATTTGGGAGAGGAGGGGAACAAACGAACAGTGGCGTCATTAGTTCAAGGTCCGTGGTTGTGATTAGTGGAAGCAATAGCTGTTTGCACTGCAAATAAGTGGCTAAAATTTAGAGACTTAGAAATAAGATTAACCTTGCATTTTCAAAACCAAACAGTACAAGGAATGGAACATCTGTCCGAGATCAAACATGATCTGCTCTTTCCAAGGCAGAGAGGCCACCTGGAGGCAGTTTCCTCAGCTAGCCAAAAGCTTGTAGAATTGGCTGCAGTTGCTCATTTATAAATTGGAACCACTGATGATTCAAAGCCCCCTGAATGCTTGGGAGCTGGCTTTGCCTTGGCTGGAAAGACCAGTCTGTTCTGAGATGGCAATGGGATTTGAAGCAGTTTGTTTCAGGTGATTTATAAGTTAGCTGACTGAGCTCAGTACAAGGAAGCTAAGGAGAAGCCTTGGCACTGGTGGTATGTTGGTCTCAGTATAGTTCTCCAGCTGCCTTCCCTAATGCCCTTACATAATGTACTATCCTGATTTGGAAGGCAAATCTAGCCATGTTTCTGGAGCTCTCTGAGGGATTAGATGCCCCTTTCTGTTTACTTTCTTCTGGCAAGTATCCAAGAGAATTTGCCTTCCTCTCTAAGGCTGGTCCAAGGACTGTTCCTTGGTCCTGGATCCATAGATTCTAAGGCCAGAAGGGACTATTGTGAACATCTCATGTGACCTCCTGTATAACACAGGCTGCAGAACTGACAGCACCAGGCATTTTCACCAGGACTCTGTACCGATCGTGGTTACAGGCACTGCCTTCTGGGCCCTAAGCGTTGTCTTTCATGTTGCTGCAGTGGCAGGTGTTTTGGTACTGTAGTTTGATTTGCCCTTAAGAGCTATGTGCTTCAGCTGGTCCATGTCTAATGCTTTGCCAGGCTCAGAAATCTCAAGGACCTCAGCGCAGAACTCTGCTGTGGATATTGCATCAGTGCAGAGCATTCACAACAAAGGCATGAACTTGGCCATGCTTGGGCTCCACTCCTGACTCCTGTTGCACAAACTAGCCTTGCCTGAAAGGCAGTTAAATGTGGACCATGCGGCTATTAATCTGGAGGGGTGGCCTGGAGAGAATGCAGTTCCCAACATACAGCGCCTTTCCACACTGCGTACTGGGACCTGGAGTCTCTCTGTATTCTTATCTGGGCCCTCATCATCACAATGCCTGAGAGCATCACAAACATAAACAGATTCATATTGCCAATACCCTGTGAAGTCAGGAAATATCCCCACTGTACAGATGAGGAACTGAGGCACATAGAGGCTGAATGACCGTCCACACTGGGAAGCTGTAATAGTGCCTTATCTACAAGCCCATGACTTTTCAGGCTACACTTCCATTTTCAATATAAAGGCAGCTGCAATGTACCCATTTATGCACAGTGGGTGTATGGCAAGCTGTCAAGAAGCTTCTTGGTTAGACAGAGTTTGGGCACCCATGGGGTAATCTGTTTGATGTTGGTCTTGTGACCTGGCTGTGGCTGTGTACAGTTGTTCCCAATGGTCTCTGCATCACCCTCTCCAGGTCTTGTGTATCTGCTGGGTACCATGTCCTCTCTCAGTGCCTTCTACCCCAGCATGTCACTGTTGTGTTCATGTGATGGTTGATCATCCCCTCCTGGCCTGTACCCAGAGCTGTCCCCTAGTGCCTCAGTTGTCTCCCTAACTTTTGTACAGGGACCGGTTTGTTTATATTGGTGAACTCCACATTCTCTTGTATTGTCTGGTGAGTTACAATACAAATATCAGTGGAAAGGGAAAATGAGAGTGAGAGACTGGAGAGGAAATCCGATCTCACCGCCGGGACTGTTTGGATGGGGTTGAGGACTGCTGGCCCCTGAGAGGTAATGCTTTCTTGGGTGTTGTGGCCACAGCTCACACACATGCGGACCTGCGGCTGCTCTTGGCATCAACAAGCACTTGCCTCAGCGCAAGCAGGCATTATTTCTGCAAACTTTGGAATTGGCCCTTGTTTGTTAGACATGATAACCTGCTTTGCTCTGTTTTGACTAAAGATCTCAGTTGCTGGGCGTTGATTGTAATAAAGGGGCAGTTGGGGTCCAAGATCCCAGTGCAGGGTTGTGAAGAGAAGTGGCTGCATGCCCTGTGGGAGGTGAGTTTAAATGGGGAACCGGAGAAGTGAGGGGACTCAGTGGTTGTGAATGATACCGGGCAACTCTACAGTTTGAAATGGGGAAAAGTTTCTGCTTCTTCTCTATGCGGCAGCCTTTGTGGCATTGTTGGTGCTACTTAGAACAGTCTGTATTCCCCCTTCTCTCACTGGGCAGGGACACGCTGCATTGGCTCACCAGGAAACTGAGGCTCTCAGGACAAGGTTTGGTCTTCATTGTCCTCTAGGGAAGCTGTTCCCACCCCTTCTTGGGATTTGAAAATAAGTCACCCTGATGGAAATGGATGAGGGCTCCTTCATGCAGGTGATATATCTGTGCATGCTGCACTGAAGGTCTGTGTACCCACATGCTTAGTGAATCAGAACAAAGGAGAAAAGCTCAAGATCAGATAGAGTGCAGTTCCCTCTATCCCCTCACTCAAACTCTCTCCTCATCTCCCTACTAGAGCTTCATTCATGGGGCCACATTCTCTGTTGGCAGAAGTCCGCTGAAGTCATAAGAATTATGTCAGGTGAGAATTTGGCCCATGGTCTGTGAAACCACAGGAGAGAATCAGGGACCATTTCCCTAGGGTGGAGTTCTTCTGGTGTGATGAGAGCTGTTCTTTGCTGGGCTTTGAGTTGGGTAGGGTTGTCCCCATGCTAAGTTTGGTAGGATCACACTGGATTTGCCAGGTGATCTCTCCAGAACAGTTTTAGGGAATGTCTACTCAGCAACTAGACACCCATGGGTGGCCCATGCCAGCCAACTCGGGCTGGGACTGTTTCATTGCTGTGTAGATATCTGAGCTTGGGCTGAAGCCCAGGCTCTAGGACTCTGCAAGTTGAGAGGGTTATGGGCCAGCCGTGGGCTTTTCTTTGTTGTGTAGACATACCTTTAGGCTGCATCAGGTGATGAAGCCAGTAAACAAGATTGTTCTGCAAAACGCTTCAGAGGCTAGTGGTACGAATTCCTACTTCTCCAGGACAGGCTCCGGGGAGAAGTGGGGCGGGACCACCTGGTGGAGCCTGCCCCTCATCCCCTGGTTCTGCTCTGCTCCATCATGCCCAGAGCCAGCCTGTCCTTTATGCAGCTTTACCCTCTGCCTTAGGGTGTGGTCTGATTTCAGTGTGCGTGCTGGAGAAAACTTCAGTTGAAGCAAGAGCAAATATGCCAGGAGAGAAGCACATAGCCTGTGCCCGTGCTCTGAAGCCTCTGTGTTTGCGAGGGGAAGGTCTCCCCTCCACCAAGGGTACTCACATCTCTGTAGCAATGCACACAGCCACAGTGCCGCGAGTGCCCAACTCTGGGCAGTCTCTGTTTCAGTGTCTCTATCTGAGGCCACTGTGTGGGGAACAGTTCCTGCATGCCTCAGGACATCCGAGTCCCACATTCTGCCCTTTCCTGCTGGCTGTGTGGCATATACTCCTCACTGGCTCCAGACGTCTTTCACATTACTTGCCCTTAGGGCCCTGGGTGCTCTCAGATCAGTGTCTTCCCCTACCTATGGACCAGGTGGGCTCTGCTAAGGCAGAGTCAGGCAAGCTGTGTTGGTTGCTGTGAAATCCCAGGCTTCTGCCCTGTGGTGGAGGGACAGGAACTCCTGCTCCATTGCACATGTGCTGCTGGGAGCCCAGTGTTGTCCCTGAATCTCCCTGTGATCTCTGGCATTTCATTCCCAGGTGATGACAAGTATGGACGGAAAGTCATTTTGTTCAGTGCCTGCCGGATGCCGCCCAGCCATCAACTTGACCATGTGAAACTGCTTCAGTGAGTACTGCCTTGGGGGCCCACTGCTCCTGTGACAGCCTGGATCTGAGACAGTCCCTGAGCTTTGAGTCCTAGGGGGCAGATCTACAGACAGCAGCTGCTTTGGCTGGATATGTGCACTCTGTTACAATTGCCAACTAGGTGGGGACTGCACCCCACACATTCAGCCAACCCCCAGCCAGAAATTGATCTCCTGTATGCTCCTCTCCCAGGGCACAAGTGCCTCCGTTTCTGCAGTGTGGCAGAATTTTCCTTATGCCAACTGTGGCCAGTAGAGAGCAAGCTTATATACATGCCAATGCATGCTGCGAGCTCAGAAGTTCCTGTGTCTTCCCAGGTATCTTAAGTTCACACTGGACCAGTATGTGGAGAGTGACTACACATTGGTGTATCTGCACCATGGCCTCACCAGTGAGAACAAGCCGTCCCTGAGCTGGCTGCGGGATGCCTACCGGGAATTTGACCGCAAGTGAGTAGGTGTGGCCAATGGGAAAGGACTCCTGAGTTCTCTACCACAGTCTGACTCCCTGTGTGATCCTCTTTGGAGCTAAACATGTCCTAAGCAAGTCCTTTGCCCATCTGTAACCTGGGGATCATGATCCCTCCCACATCTCTACCTGCTGGGAGGTGGTGGGGATGAACTGATGTTTGTCAAATGCTATGAAGATAGGAAGTTCTATAGACAGAGTGAGGGGTACAAACCGCTCTTGCGGGAAGTTCTCTGGGTCAGTAGGGGGCTAGCAAAGGCAAGAGTCAGCGCAAGTGTCCAGGCCACGTGGCAGCTTGTCCCGTCATGGGGCAGTGCCTCATCAGTGGAGTCGTGGGGTGGCAAAGAGCAGGGGTTGAGGTTGCTGGGTGGCTCAGGGCTAGGAAATGAGGGGAATGGGGTTAACACAGGGGGCCCCAAAAAGGGGCACAGTGTGCTGAGGGTGTGGAGGGAGGGACTTAGAGCACCAGGGAGCCATTTGCAGGCTTGAGCTCATGGAGCTGCCCAGCTCCCCAGCCCAGGCAGAGCTCTCCCTCACTCGGCTTCCTTTGGCAGGTACAAGAAGAACATCAAAGCGCTGTACATCGTGCACCCAACAATGTTCATCAAGACTCTGCTGATTCTCTTCAAGCCTCTGATCAGGTAGGGGGCAGCAGAGGCTGGCTCAAGCTCCCTGGGTGCAGGGGGATGTGCAGCATTCCTCAGCAGGCCAGGAGGGGAGCACAGGCTCCTAGCTCCTCCTGTGCCTGCGCTGGTGACTCCTCCTGCATTAACCTCTCGGGGGATCTGCCTCCCATTATTCCTGAAAGATCCAGACAAAACGAGCCACTCTACTGGGGCCTGGGGAGCTCAGCCCCTGCAAAGGCACATGTCCCAGGCATTAGCACCAGGACAGAAGGGGAGGAGGAGAATGAAACCCAGAGGGGCACTATGTTCAGTGTGTCACCAATGAAACCGCAGCTCCATGGGCCACAATTGAGAAGAGGAGCGGTCTCCGGCCTGCTGCAGAGCCCAGGGAGGGGCAGTGCTGTGCTGTACAGAGCCCATCTTTGCCAGGCTTTGAGCCAGGCTGTGGAGGAGCCTTAGCATTGCCTCACTGAATGTGTGGGTTGAGAGAGAGCTGTGTTGTGTGGTACCCCTACTGCTGAACCTGTCCTGCCTCCAGCACTGCCAAGGCCCCTCAATTCTGCCCCGCAGGCCCCTTGATCTTCCAGTGCTGGGACCCCCAGAAAGCTCTGCTAACGCCCCCTCACTCGTGCTGCTCCTGCCCTGGACTCCCCCCCAGCTCTGCTGATGTTAGTCACTCCGGATCCCTCATGGAGCCGCTTGTCCTCTGTTTTGCAGTTTCAAGTTTGGACGGAAGATTTTTTATGCAAACTTCCTGAGTGAGCTGGAGGAGCATGTGAAGCTGGAGCAGCTGGGGATCCCAAGCCAGGTGTTAAAGTGAGAGCATGTGGTCTGCCTACCCACTTACCTACAGCTCCGTGAGAGGAGGGAAGATGCGGGGTGGGGAGACAGTGGCAAGGAGGAAGGAAGCAATGGGGAGGGGCCTTGTTTTGCTCCCAAGTGATGGTTCATCCAAGGTAGCAGTGCCAGGATGCCTCAGAGAGGGGGCTCTTCCTAGCACCCCTTTCTGCCTGTCTCCAGCATCAGTGCCTGGCTCAGGCCCACTTGGCCCCTTTGCTGCCTCTGTCTCTTCCGCCTCTTGGTCTCCTCTCAGGCAAGTGACTTTGCCCCTGGGCATCTCTCTGCTGTCCCTCCCTGTCTGCTGCTGCCTGTGCAGCCACTTTGCTCAATAGCTCAGTGGGGCCTTCTCGCTTCAGCTTTCCGCTGTGGCCTCCCAAAGGTGCTTCAACTGCACCTCCAGCCTGTTCGGATCCCTGTGGCTTTATCTCTCTCCTACACACATGCATGCGCACACCCACACCCCATCACCCCTCGTCTTCCAACAAACTTGCCCTGACTTCCTAGCTGCACGGTCCTTCGCCCTGTCTTTTCTCTGTCCATCCCAGCAAGCTCCTCTCTTTGTACAGATTCTTCCCCTCCCCCTCCCCCGGCTCTCTCTTCTCTGCTGGAGGCTGAGCCCTTTGGTCTTGCTGCCCCAGCACTCCTGAGCTACCTGTCCTTGGGGTCAGCAAGTACTAGGCTAGAGCTGTCTTTGGGGCAGTTCCCAGTGGATCAGCAGGGGCTGGGTTGATTGCGTCCACAAGGCAGTGGAGTGGGTGCCAGGTGTGAGATGGCAGGCACTGGTTGGTGGTCTCTGTGTGAGTTGGGCTGGTTCCCTACCAATCTGTCTCTCTCACTGCAGATATGACGAGTACCTGAAATCACTGCAGAAACCCTCTCAAGTGCCCCAGAAGCCGACCCCCCCACGCCCACCCCTGCCAAACCAGCAGTTTGGGGTCTCTCTGCAGCAGTGAGTATCTTGGAGTTGCGTTGCTTTGGCTGCTGGACCAGCTAATGCCAGGGACCTGTGTATAATGCAATAGTGCAGCTGCAGAAATGGCCTCAAAATTGCCCATTTCTTGAAATTGCTGCAGAATCTGAGTTGTCATTTAGAAAAACTCAGTTCTCTAGCCCAGATCCTGAGCTACTCTCTGCCCACCTCAAAATCTGGCCTGCCTGATTTCTGGGCTGGTCCTTGGTGTAAACTAGAGGCGCTTCAGGGCTTCTCTAACATGCTGACAGCTAACAACCCCCAAGGGGTTGTTTCAGTAACTGAGGATTCACTAGGGTGCCAGGACACCCCAGCTACATGCCTGTGTGCGTGGGGCTAGGAGTGGGAAGGGCTGGAGTATAAGCCATGATGGCACTTCTGTGCTATATGAGGATTCCTGGAGTTGTAGGATTCCTCAAGGGGTCAGCTGAAATGGCATTAGGCCTGTGTTGTTTTGCTGGAGCAGGGCAGAGGATCTGACCTTCAACTTTTTCCATAGCTTCGATGCTGTTTTAATAGAGGGATTCTCAGAGACATATCCCCTCCCATTCACCCTTGCCTCTGCTTCCCCACCCTTTCCTGGTCACATCACATCCCTGAGGTAGCTTCAGAATTACTGACATGGGAAAATGACATCAGGAAAGTATTTTTTAATGTATTTTTAGCTTTTAATGTAATTTGGCCACTGGAAATGAGGGGGAACCAGCTCCATGTGCTCTGGCAGTTCTTCCTGAGGCAGTTTGGGAAGCGATTTTCTAGCCCTTCTGGCTGCAGTGAAAGCCTTCCAAACGTGAGCTCAGTGTAACCAGCGCAGTGACTGCTGGCTGAGCTTGCAGGCATCCTGAACCGATCTCTCTGAGAGAGGTGACTTGGCCCATTCTTTGCAATGGGGGGTTGACTCTGAAGCCAAATGATGGTGATGTACATGTCAACGTTAGATATTACATTACTGATCATCTTAACGGAACCAGCCGGCATTTGTCATTGCGGGATGTAATGGCAGATGTTAGAGAGTAATACACAGCAGCTAGCTGCTGTCTAGGTGGATTCCTGTACTTCCCTCCCCTGCATTTAAACTCTCCTCCGTCCTTGCCTAAAGCGGAGAAAGAAAAAGGAGTTGCATCCCACAGAGCCACCTCAATTGTTTCCTGGCCTCTTCCCAGCAACCAAAGCCTCCAGCTTGGGCCCCTGACGCTGGCTGTAATGCAGTCACTGCTCCTCAACACAGACCAGCAGTAGGAGGCAGCATAACATATGTGTATTGTAGTATCAAAAACATGAGATGCTGCCCTGGTTGGACTGGGCTGGGGAGAGGGAGGGGGAGCAGGCTGAGGGACAGAGAGTGGGACAGGATTGGATGGGGAGAGGGATCCTGCAGAGGTCCCTGCTATGTACATATGTCAGATGTGATGAGTTGCATGTGGGGGAGAGGTAACTGGCATCCTCTAATCTTCTGTTCTCCCCACAGCCTAAGGGAGAAGAGCTCTGATCAGGCCCTAGTCCCGCTGGTGGTCAGGGAAACCATTGCCTATCTGCGGGAGCATGGTGAGTGCATAAATGAAACCCTCAACCCAACCCAGTACCATGCAGGTGCCTTCTCCTCCCCTTCCTAATGCCAATCAGATCTTTATGAAACAGAAGGAAAATGACCGTAGAACAATTTGGAGCCCAAATACGAGTGATTGAGCCAAGAAGAGAGATCCTGCCATGCCCTTCTTCCTGCACAGTGTCTGGGTGTGAAGTTCCCCTCTGGTATTATCTGGACTGATGATCTGCTAGGTCACTCCAATCCTTGACTCTGGGAGCCAGCCTTACCCTGCTCTGCTGTGAGAACCCCCACTCCTGGGCTGTTCACGCACAGCCTCTGGCATGTAAGCTGTTCTTTGGATTGTGCAGCCGACTGACACTAGCCAATATCTCCGGTCCCAGACACAACCCTAGGAACCTCCGTCTTGCAGTGTCCAGTTATGCCCGCTGGACGCTGCAAGCTTATATGAGTTCGTCAGTTTAACAAAGAAATTGATATGTATCAGGCTTGTTATCCCAAGGGGAGCATCTGACACACTTCAAACCAAACACACTGCTTCCAGCAGAATAAACAAACAGATTTATTAACTATAAAGATAGATTTTAAGTCAAAACATAAGTCAGATTTGGTCAAATGAAATAAAAGCAAAACGCATTATAAGCTGATCTTAACACTTTCAGTGCCCTTATAAACTTAGATGCTTCTCACCACAGGCTGGCTGGTTGCTCTTTGGCCAGGCTCTCCCCTTTGATCAGCGCTTCAGTCGCTTGTGTGGTGTCTGTAGATGTAGGTGGAAGAGAGAGAGAGCATGGCAAATGTCTCTCCCTTTTATCATGTCCTTTCTGCCCTCTTGGCATTACCCCCCACCCCTTCCAAGTCAGGTGAGCGTTACCTCGTCACAGTTCCAAACTCACCAAAGGAAGCGGGGGTGACTCCCTTGAGAGTCTAACAGATTCTTTTGTTGCTGCCTAGGCCAGTGTTCCTTGTTCCTGTGAGGCTGGGCTGGGTTTGTCCCATCCATGCCCTGATGAGGTGTGAAAACTGCCTCTCTGCTCTTGGAGAGTTTTTGCCTGGGCTTGCTTTAAGCCATGAGGATACATTTTCAGCCTCATAACTATATACATGAAATTATAACCTATAACATTACTGTAACAATTATTATAACATCACTATAACAACCGTGCTCAGTGCATCATGAGCCTTCCGAAGACACCCGACATGACAAACTTTGCATTGGATACCATACAATCGTTTTACAAGGATGAACATAGGGGTGCTGGGTGTTCCCCCAAGGTACAGAGCATCACACTGGGCATGGGCAGTGCTCTCTCCACAGCTGTGTGCAGAGGTTTCCTGTGCACATGGGAGAAGCTGGTGCTTTGACAGCCTTGCTGTGTGCTGTGGCTGGCTGGGAAGGGTCGGAAAGCTCCGGTGTGTGACAGGCCTGGTCTGAGCTCTCCCTTTCCTTCTGCTCTCTCTCCCCAGCTCTGACCAAAGAGGGGATTTTCCGGAGATCAGCTTCCACACAGATTGTCAAAGAGGTCCAACAAAAATACAACATGGGTAAGTGTCCCTCCTCGGAAGAACCTTGCATCATGACCCCTCCACTTCCCCCAACTCCCACCTCCAAGTTAGAGTTCTCTGATCCTCACCCGTCCTGACGCTCAGCCTCTGCTCCTCTGCACTGTTCCTGTTCTGGGGCTCTGCTCTCCTCAAGCTTCTGGCTCTGCACCCAGTGCTGGGGAATATGAGCTCCATGGAGCACTACACAGGAGTGTGTGGACAAGTACCTCTTTGGATCTAGGCTGGGATCCAACCAACTCATTCCACTGTCATCTGAAAGCCTGTTTGAACGCTGCGCTCCGTCCTGCTGGCCAAGAGGGACTGAACTTTGTACGCAATCTGCCAGAGGAATTGTGTTTGAGCAGTGCAAAGCGCGCACCCCCCATCCCTGTTTCAGGAGAGGCTCCCTGAGGAGGTTCCCCACCTGCTCCCTGAGGAGCCGCTTCTGTTTCCCAGGGCTGGGCATGCTACCTTCCCATTGCTGCCCTGTAGAGTGAGACCAAGACCAGAAAAGACCCCTGTTTGGGGTGATGAGCCTTGGGGACATTGGGCTGGAATTGGCAGAGCTGTTGCTTCTGTCTTCTGGGCAAGTAAGTTACCTGCATCTCAAGTGAGTCTGGCCCCATGCTCGTCCCCACGGAGCTTCTGCTTCAGAGCTGGGCTTTGACACCATGCTCTGCTCTGTTGATCTGGAGGGAGTCCAGCCCCTTGCCCCTCTCCCTTATGGAGTGTGCTCCTGCTCTGATAGATGGGCTCTGAGCCTGTGCCTGCTCTCTGTCCTCAGGGATACAGGTGGATTTCCAGCAATACGAGGACATTCACCTCGCTGCCGTGATCCTCAAGACGTTCCTGCGGGAGCTGCCAGAGCCCCTGCTCACCTTTAGTCTCTACAACCACGTTGTCAACTTCCAGAGTGAGTTGGGGGCAAGAGGGCGCAGGCAACCAAAGTCTGAACTCCCTGATGGCAGGGATCTCCTCCAGGCTACCCCAGACACACAGCTACGCCCCCTGATCCCAGGCTGTGGCTCTGGTGCCTTTCCAAGTAATCCGGGCAGCATGGATGAGCCCCCATTGCCAAGGGAGTCTGCATGGGATGGGGAAGAGAGGGAGTCCTGCTTGGGGTACCCGTGCATTGTGAGCTGGGCTCCTATCAGAGGAGCCTCCCAATGTGAGTCAGGGTTGCCCTATTGCCTGGTGGGAGCTGGAGGTTCCCCCCCTTCATTGCCTGGTGGGAGCTAGGGTCTTGCTCACTTACTTACGTGCCCCGTGTGTTTCCCTTTCAGACGTGGAGGAGTCGAATCGCGTGGATGTTGTTCGCAAAACCCTCCAGACCCTGCCCGAGGAAAACTACCAAGTGCTCTGTTTCCTGATGGCCTTCCTGGCAGAGGTTTGCTGCTCCACTTGGCTCTGAGGGGGTCTCCTCTTAGCTGACTACACCTGGGCCCAGCTCCGTTACTGCCCATTCCCTCCCTCCCCAACACACACGCTGCCCAGCTGAGAGGCAGCGCGGCTTGGGCCAGGAAACCACCCTTCTTTATCCCTCCATCCCCCTTCCCCAAGGGTTGGAACCGGCTCTGACTCGTCAGGCTCAGGTAGTTCCTCCCATTGGGGCGGGGGGCAGTGGGCAGGACGGCAGCTGAGACAGGGTGAAACTCCCATTAGTGCCGGTAAAGACCAAGAAACAGGTGTGCGGTGAGAACGGGATAGAAAATGAGCTCCAGATCCTGCCCTATTGGACTTGCAGGGAGCTTCCCACTGCTATGGAACTGCTCTACTGAGCCAAGTCTATCCCCAGCAAAAGGGTCAGAGACACTCAGCCCCCGAATGCTTTGGGCATGTTGGACGACAGCACCTCCAGGTCAAGGTGTCTCTGTGTGGCCTGGAGGATGAGATGCCAGCTGGTGCAGAATGTGGCAGGGTGTCACTTGCCATCTCAAAAGCCCTACAGGTGTTGGGCCCTATATATCACCCAAGCCGTCCCTCCCTGACAGTTCCTGGGGGCCAGGGCGGGACTCTGGACTCTATTCCCTGCCTTCCCCACCCCTTCCAGGCCTATCCGTCCCCTCCAGCTTTTCCAGGGTAGGGGAGGGTTGGGGTAATTTAGGGTCACGTCCACATTAATTTAGCTGATTATTTGGCGTGGGCTGGGAAATTGTTGAAGGGTGTTAGGTGCAAACTGAACAGCAGAGGGTGGTTAGAGCATAGGCCTGGGCTCATGGCTGCTGGAATCCTTCTCCTGCTCTGCCTTTGTCATCGTCTGTATTGCAGCGCCTCCTAGAGAGCCAGGCTCAGGGCCCAGCAAGAGACAAGATAGACAGTGTGAGAAAGGAAGAACTGTCATCCCCATTCACTGGTAGGGAACGGACACACAGAGACCAAGTGACTTGCCCAGGGTCCCACAGGTAGTCTGTGACGGAGCTGGGAATTTGAACCCAGGTCCCCTGAGGCCCAGTCAAGTGTCTTCATTGCAAGCCTGCCTCTCCGTCCCGGGGGCCCTGTACTGCTTCATGTGCCTCAATTTCACCCTCTAGGCTAGGCGCCTGAGCCCCCACCGTACGGTTGTGAGGCACCAGGTAGGGCAGAGTGCTGATGCTGTTGTGGCCGCTCTGAGTCATTAGGGGTCCTCTCTCCCTCCCATGCAGGTCTCCGCTCACAGCGACGTAAACAAGATGACGAACACCAACCTGGCCGTGGTTTTCGGCCCAAACCTGCTGTGGGATAAGGATGTAGCCATCACCCTCAAGGCCATCAACCCCATCAACACCTTTACCAAGTTCCTGCTGGACCACCAGGGGGAGCTGTTCCAGGACATGCAGGCCTGAGCCGGGGCCCGTCCACACTAGCACACTGTGCCCACCTTCCCCCTCCCTCTTCCTACCTTGTCGTGGAGCCATGGCCAGGAGCCTCCAGCACAGAGGGTCCATTGGAGCTGCAGGCGCTGAGCTGAGTGAGGGCTGTGGAGATGGTGTGGGAGTGAGTGAGCAGGCAACCATTTGCCAGAGGTGGGGGAGAGGAGCTGGTCTCCCCATTCCTGGGAGTGGAGTCTTGTCCCCATGGCCATTCTGTGCAGTTCATCCCTGGCCATACTGCTCTACTGGGGGCCGTTCCCTCCTTCCTTCCCCTCACGGGCTTCTTTCTGCCCTCCTCTCCTCCCCCCAGCAGCCCCTCTTCTGTGCAACGCCCCAAGATCCCAGCTCATTCCTCCTGCCTGCATCACCTGGGCAGGACTTGGCTCGAGTTGTGTGGCAGGAGGCTCCCTGTGCCAGCCTCTCCTCTCAGGAGCTGAGTGCAGTGTCCTGGCTCCCTGCCCCCACCCAGAGCAGATCAGGTAAGCCTTGTGCTTCAGGTGTTGGTGAGGACAGCACCAGCTGCTCCTGGGCTAACACCAACCCTGCCCTTGGCTCGCAGCAGGTGTGTGAAGGAGAAACTAACTCTCCGGGGGCTGGGCCATTGGGCCCTGCCAGAGACTCTGTGACTGAGGGGAGTTGGCTGAGCCCGCCCCTTGCTGACACTACTACCCTGGGGAGCTAGTAATGCCTCTCCATGGGGCGCTAGCACCCACTGCAGGTGCTGTTCACCTTCACTAGCAGGGCTGTGGTGGGCATGGGGTGTGTGGCGTGTGGTAGCCCATGACTACTCAGCTCTGGCTCTAATGGTCCCCTTGACTTTGTCCTCAGCTCTTGGTGGGAGGGTTTCACTCCAGACACGGCCTCAGTGGGCATGCGCTGCCTGGGGATGTGGGGTCCCCTTTGTAATGCTCTGTGATCAGTGAGCTTGTTGGAATCATGCAGGGGACAAGTGCCCTGGTGGCACTTGACTCCCCACTGCCAAACGCCATAATTGACACTTCCCTTCCTCATGGCTGCAGCACAGGGACACTCCTGGGTGCCCTGTTTGTCTGCTGGCCAGCCCCTGACCCCATCTGGTGAGTGGAATTTTTTCCAGCAAAAATGTAAGAATGTGGCCCAAAGGGAAGGGCCTGTGCACTGAGGCCAAACGTTAGCCAGTGTGCGAGGCCTGGATCGCAGGAACCTGCCCAGGTGCTGAGCTCTCGTGCCAAAGCCACTAGGGCAGAACTGTGCCATGCAGCATGCCCCTAGCCTTTCAGGGGAGCTGCTTTGATGCACCCCTTATGAACTAGGTGGGTAGGGAGGGAACTGGCTCTCTACAGGCCAGGCTCAGGAACAGAGCAGGCCAGATCCCCTTCTGAGGCAGTTGCACTGCAGTCACTGCCTCAGGGTTGATTTTAGTGTGGGGGGATCCCCTCTGCCACATGCTAAAGTAACAGGGAGCTAGCGTTTCCTGCATTGGCCTGTGAGAGAGGAGCTTCCACACTGGAGCGAGACTCTCCATTTCTAGCCTCACTCCCCAAGACCCATAATTCTTGTGCCCTGCTCCCCCAGGCCAGTCCTGGTCCCAGCCCCACCAGAGCAGTGGGGAAACATTGGGACCAAGCAGAGCTCGTTTTATAAAGTGGCAGTTGATCTGCTTTTAATAGGATTTTAACCTGCCCTAGAAACTGACCAAAGGCTGATACCCTGATTTAAAAATATGACAAACTGCTGATGAGCATCAACAACAGGAATGGGGTCTCCTCTGCGAGGCCCAGGAGCAGGGGCCCAGGATTGGCAAGAACTCTGTCAGTCCTGCAGTGCAGCCCAGGCCCAGCTCGGCAGCTCTAGCTATTGCCGATTGATTGACTGCTCTTGGGGTGAGATGGGCAAGTGGAGGAGCGGAGAATTCTGAGGAGGGCTGGAGAACAGGCTGTGCACAGCTTGGAGCCTCCCATCCCACCCCGGCTACTGAGTGAATCTCTCTCTGGGAGGTTGAAGGGCCCATGGTGGGGAGGGACCAGGCCTGGAGCTGGACGTGCTGCTGTGTGAGTTGAATTTCTGGGACATGAATGCCCTTTGCTGTGAATAAGTCCATAGTGAGGGTTTGGGTGGGTCACAGAGGGCTTCTAGTTCACCTTGACTTCTGCTAGATCCAGCATCGAGGATAGATCTGCCATGGAAGCTTCTTGGGAAAGCTGGAGGGACTCAGTGCTCCTATTGAGGTCAGGGGGTGGGGCAATGTAGGAAGAGCCCTACACTTGCCCCATGAGTTTTGTTAGGCCATGCTTAGTGGGACACTCTGGAAAGGGGTGTTGTCTGCGTGATCCCATATCACAGCTTCTGTCTCCCCACTCTAAAGGGAGCATCCCCTCCTGCATGTATTTCACAGTGAAGCTAAGCTGGGTTTGCTGACGTTATCCGGGCCACAGCTAAATGTTTGTTGGCCTAGATCTCCCCAGAGAAAAGGAAAAACCTGCTGGTCTCCTTGGGAACAACCAGAATCTTAAGGCCAGTAGCCCAGAACAGAAATTCCTCATGGGCTGGGGCACAAGGACCTGGCTGCAGGCTCAGCCGCTGCTCCCTGCAGTGAGTTCCAGCTGGGAGCACTGAATCCTGATCTGCCTGATGTTGAAAAAAGCAGGGCTGGGCAGCCCAGGGGCAGGGGCAGGCTGAGGCTGCACTTGGGGAAGGTATTTCCTTAGCCTCCCAGAGACACTTTAAAAAAAAAAATTCTATGTAGTTAAAACTCCTGAGTTTATGGGCTTTCCTACTGAGTGTAACGGGACCTGCTGCAAATCCCTGTGCTAGGGGATAACCCTGCTCCTGGGGCAGAGCCCTGCATAGGGAAGGGAGTGGACTTGGAGAAGTCTGTTGGTACTGCAGATGGTGGGAATGGGCTCGCATGGTCTTGGGAGCACTCCAGTGTAAATATTCCCATTCCTTTACCCACCCCCTGCCTGCTCCCCCAGCGCTGCCAAGAGGCACAGCAGCGCTGGCTACTTTGCTTCTGCAATTTATGCTTCGGGATGCCTTTCATGAAGATACTACTCTTGTGGCTTGTGTGTGAAGCTGTGGCCTGGGCCTGACTGCAGCCCTTGGCTTCCCACGCCGAGTGGCAGGTGGGCAACCGAGTCCACGTCTCTGCCAACTAACTCAGGACTGAATTGCCTTCCTAATCTGTCTGCCTCCTTGGGTGTACGGCTTGAGGCAGAGCTGGGAGGGAGGCAGCATGCAGGAGCGGCTAGAGGACCAACCTTGGCCCAAGAGACTAGGCTCTAGTCCTTGCTGCCTGTAAGAGGTGGTTGGTAGCATGTTAGGGACCCATGGTTACTCTGTGTATTTGTCTCCCATAATGTGTCTTACTCCTGGGTACAGCCGCCCAAGAGCCCCTTCCCCAGCGTGGCTTCCATATTAAATAGTGGCCACAGTGGCCCTTTGAGGATGACATGTTTTGTCTCCTCTCTGTGCCCTGCTCTGCAGCACCCAACTTCCCTCCTCTCCTCATTCCAGTGGTGTCTGAGCAGCCTGTGAGCGCACACTCCGCAACTGGCCCCAGCTGTCAGCCCTCTCTTTGTCTCTTCTGGAACCAGAGCCTTTGGGTGATGCAGATGAGGGCAAGGTCAATTTGATGCCTTATGGTAACCCCTCTGCTAACTCAGCAGAGACTTCTGAGGGCCAAACTAGCCCCTGGTTGCTCTTTCAAGCACTGGTGCTCTAGTGCAATTTACAGCTTTGCTTTTTGTTGCTGGTGTTCCCTGCCTTCTCTCCAGTTGATGTTCAGCAGGCACAGGGCTGGGGTTTTTACTGTGACATTAATTCACATCCATGTTTATTGACTTCTACACTGCACCGATCTTGTATTTCACAGTTTGCACTTTTTGTATTTCAATAAAAACCAAAACTCAGCCCCAGAGCATGGTGTATTTCTCTGAGCTGCAGCCTCTGGGGCTGATCTACAAGAGAAAGCAGAATGGCTGGTTACTCACCTAGCTACAACTGAGCAGGGGGCAGAGCTGTGCATGGTATATCCTCCTTGTGCCTCTCCATGGAGTGTACACACACTTATGGACAGCATCTCTTCCCAGACTCAATGGGCAGGAGCCATCTGCTAGGCCACTTGGTGCTAGATCCACAAAGGAGACTCAGGCACTGCACTGCAACACCTAACTTTAGGCACCCTACTGCCCCCTGAAATCCTGGTTAGGCGCCAGATTCCCTATGTTGTGCAGTGGGAGAGTTCGGTGCCTAAGAACAGGATTCACAAAAGCCAGAGGGCTGTGCAGAGAACTGCCTAAACTAGCCAGTAGGAATTATCAAGGAGAGAGATGGGGCCTCAAAAGGTAGTTATGTGCCTTCCTCCACTTGGGACTCAGAGCTGGGCCCCCTTTCCTGGTGACAGAGCTAATCGGGCTTAAGCACTCTTACCAAAAAAAAAAAGTGCTGCTGCAGCCCCCATTTATTCCAACAGCCCAGGGCTTAGAGCACTCCCTCCCTGCAGGCCTCCCGGACCTGAGCAGGAAGGGAAGGGGATTGGCTTTATAATCCAGCTGCACTTACTCAGAAGTTGGATTCTTTTCCCTTCTCACCTCAGTAGGGCCTAGCCTGTAAAGCGGAGGAGCTCAGGACAGTATGTGCCCAATTTGCCTAAAGTGAACTACGTGTGCTGCTGTCCTTGGAAGGGGGCGATTAAACAAGGGCTAGTGGAGGGATCTAGAAATACCCCATCTCATTCGCCATTTACAGATTCACCCCCTGTGCAGCACACCTTCCTGTTTGAATCGCCAGCCCCTTAGCATTTGGTGAGTCACAGCTTCACCACTGGCCCTCAGGTCCACTCCCTTTCTGGACAGGTACATCCCCCAAGCTAGAGAGGTCAGCTGACCGTGTGACCCAAGTTCACTTTGGATCCAGCCCTGAAAGGCCAGGACAGTAAGTTCTGTGCTTTTCACAGACACAATTTGCTATAAGCACAGAGGCTCCAGGGCCTGCCCCCATTTCAGGCTGGTTGAGAGTCAGCCCCTCCAGGCAGTGCTAGAAGGCAGAAGTGGCAACCGCACAGGAATCTTAATGACTGTCATGAGGGGTTGGTTACTAGCTACGCACACCAAGTTCTTCCCTTACCACTAAAGAACAGACCAGAACAGTGAGCACATGGACAGGGCGCTTCTACCACCTGTGTGGCTACTCTTTTGCTCCAGCGCTTAGTAACCAACCCCCCCAAACTGATCATTACGATTTCAGAGGGAAGGATCTTTGCTCCTAAGCTGGCAGGTCAGACGGGAGCTAGGACAGCAGCAAATTTATTAAAGCTAATGTTAAAATTATATAATATACAGGTTAAGAAAAGAGTGTCTGTGCATCTGGGTATAGTGCTTAGCTTATCAAAAGTTTGGTTTAAAAGTCAGAAGATACATATAGTGCATAATCTGAAACAACCCAAATTTAGGTGAATAAATTAGCAATACAATTTAGATTTTAGCATCCAAATATTGGGGTACACTCATGAAAAGTTATCTAGAGAGTTGGTTGTAGAAAGCAAATATAGCAATCAGTGTAAGTAGATTATCCCCCAGTAATTGAGCATGTAGGAGACCATGTCCCTCAGTAACTACAGTCCAGCGGAGAGGTATTTCAGATACTCTCCAGTTTTGCTTCTCAGCGGCGCTCCAGCTCCTTTCGTGGTACTGCCGATGTCTGGTGATGTGTTCCCTCGACCACCTGCTGGTGTCTGACATTACTACATGAATCCCCAAACCAGAGAAATACGAGCAAGGGGAAGAATCTTCTTAACAGCCCTCTTTGCTCAGTTCTTTGAGGGGAGTGAGACTTTCTGCACAGGGTAGGAACTGAGCACCTGGGAGGGTTTGGGATACGTGACGTGTCAGGGGCATGCAGCTGAAGTCTGGTGAATGGGCTCCTGAGGTGGTTGTCTGTGCTTCTTCACCCTCTGCTGCTTGAGCTGCCCTGGCCAGCCTATGGCAGCAGCTGTGTAGCCAGGCAGCGCACTGGCCAGGCTTAGGGACACAGTACAAAGGCACCTTTCTTGCAGGTGGCAACTCTGGCCTCCAGGGTCGATCTCAGGGCCAGCAGCAGTGGAGCAGGCCATGATGTAGAGCAGACCCCTGACCTGTAAGGGAAGGGGGGGATGGGGCTGAAGCAGTGTGTCACCTTCCCAACATGAGACGGCTACAAGGCCGACACTCTTATCCAGGGGACCTTTGGGTTATGCCCACTCAGTCCTCTCCCCTCTCCTTTAGCACTCTGCACGGGATAGAAAACCCCAGCCTTGGCCCTCCATAGGACGCAACCTCACAGTTGGCTGATACACGGGAGCTCATGATGAGCCTCTTGAAGGGCCTTAGGAATACAGCTCTTGTAAGGACTCGGAGGGGAACCCACCCTCCACACTCCTTGCACCTGTGGAAGGGGGCCTGACCTGCAGAGGGGGCGCTGTTCCACACACAACATCCTACATCTCTACTGCCCCCAGGAGCACTCACACCTGCTAACCTTGTCAAGGCTGCTGAAGGGATTGTACCCCTGGTATTTCCATTGATGTAGAAGGTAACTGTCCCCTCAGTGAGATTCAGGCCCCTCCTCCCCAAGAATCAGGAGGTAGCCGTGTTAGTCTGTATCTACAAAAACAACAAGGAGTCTGGTGGCACCTTAAAGACTCCCCAAGAACTGTCTTCTCCCAGAAAGGCTCCATGTAGGGCCAGCTGCACACTATACGCTAGCACAGCCCCTTGGAGGTGAGGCCCCAGTTCTTGTGAGCTGGCCTGGCAGCAAGACAGCAACATTTCATGCTCTTGTTACATTGCAGCCTGTCAATTGGAACACGACTTCCGGACCCGCTGGTGTTCAGGTCACTGGGTCTCCTGGGCAGAGTACGACAAACACTTATTACAGTACTGCGTAAGGGCCAACGAAGAGTAGGGGGCCCTTACAAACAGTCGTAGACAGTCTGTGCCCTGAAGCGCTCGCAATCAAAATACACTAGCCCATGGGGGAGGGGTAGAACACAAGCAGAGTGAGCAATATGATAGTAAACAGCATGCTAGATCCATGCCTATTTTGTGGGGTTTTTTTGGTGTGTATGTGTGTGTGGGGGAGGGAGGAAAAGAGGAAATCAGCTAACGTGGAAGGGATGGTGACACGGCTCAAGTCAGGTGTGGTGTGAATTCAAGGTGAGGAGATTGAGGGATGGGGAGGGAGGGTTGGAACAAACAGCCCCTCAGCACAAGGCAGGCAGGCAAAGTCCAGTCAGAACTGTAGAAAGTTCTGGGAACGTCCAAAGTTTCCTGCTGTGGCTGCTTCTGCCCCTACTAGCTGGAGGCTACATTGGTGGGGAAGAGGCAGCACCACTGCCTCCCTCTGGGGGTCTCTGTACCAGGGGAAGCCCAGTAGGTTTCATCACGTTTTGTGGTGCTTGAGCAGAACAGGAGAGAATTTGCCCAAAGCACTGAATGGGGCCTCTTGAGTTTTTCAAATACCATTTGGGTTCCTGGCCATTCCTGCAGGTGGTGCACCTCCACATTTCTCTGGGGATATGATGGTTATTGTGGCACTAGCTGGGCTAGGACCTTGAAAGCAGACAGATACCCAGATAGGGGCTGTTCGCACCAAACAGTGTGCCGACAAACCTTGTATTTCAACTTGTGCTTGTCAGACTCCCAGCAGAGAGAAACGTGAGTTTTCTGCCCCTGGCATGCCTATGGAGCAATCTCCACAGCAGTGTAGAACAACATGCTCAAAGCTATTCTGCTTGGCACACCATGAATGCAATTGCCAGCTTTGCTCTGATGGCAGGATCTGTGGTGCTGGTGGTGATAGAGGAAGCAGGCTAAACGCAGCTGGATTTTCTACTCCCAGCTGAAACTTAAAGTGCTGCCAGTCAAGCTTTTGTTTATGGAGAAGTCACAGCTAGAGAAGCAAGATAACATCTTTGTGCCCATACCCAGCCTGGGAATTCATCATTCAAGTGTAAGCATGCCGCTAAGAGATAAGGACTCTCTTCCAAACAGCCCTTTGTCCGGTTCTAGCTCTAGATTTCTGTTCACCTATTCTACCCTGAGTTGTGCAACATGGGATGAAGCTGGCACCAGGACGTTTCTGTTCACGCTGGCCGAATGAACAGTGCAGTCTGCACAAGACAGGATGCTGTGTCATTGCACAAACAAGGAAACAAGGAACAGCATCCGAGCTATGATCCGCAAAAATTATCTGCGGATATCCACAGATA